CATCTGTGAAAGTTCATTAAAATGTTGTAAGTTGAACTTAAGGTTTTACAGTATAATGTAACTACCTTTCAACTATAAAAAAAACCAAAACACTTTCATGCAGTCAAAATGCCTCTCATGAACAATCTTTAAACCACAGATCTTTAGAAGACAACAAGATGCAATAACTTAAGATCCACATTAAGGACAGGAAGCCAAAAGAAGTTTTTCAAACACTTCACCAGACTGTTTCTACATCTATATCTAAAGGCCATGAGAGCAAAAAAGCATCAGTTATAATTCGTAACTACAATTTAGTAATGCAACACTTTGACAGTTTATTGTTCATAATACTCAGATCTGTTTCTTCCATGCAATCCAAACTTAAATACATCAGCAATTTTCCATTTTGCTCTAGAAGCAGAGTTACCTGTATGACATCTTAATAGCAATTCAGTAGAAAATAATGCATTTTGCTTAGAACATCTAACTGAATTTTGTCACACTTTCTTCTTCAAGCCACAGTAAATAATTAGCATCCAGTTTCTGAGGAGAAAAGAAAAAAGTCTAACCTCACTTTCTGACAACTAAGAGGCTTCCATTTAAAGAAGAGGAATCCTGTCTTTCAGCAGATACAAATAAGCATTTACCTTGATGTTTTTGTGTTCCCCTGTAGATTCCTCTGAACATGGGATCTGTCAGGTTAATACCAATATCTACGAAGAAAAAATATATAAAAATTAGATGTTACAGTCGCTCTACATTTAGTCGCTCTACAGTCGCTCATACATCATGAGCATTTCCTAATTAAGGAAGACAACAGAAACCAAATCTTAGTAGTCCCTGACTACCACATTGACAGGCCATATAAAGCTTAAGCACAAATTTACTTGCATAACTTGAGAGCTTACTCCAGAAAGGACAGAAATTTTAAAATTTTGGCCCTCTGTGCAACTTATTCTATGAGCGTATAAGACTCAGAATCACAGAATCACCTTGGTTGGAAAAGATTTTAAAGATCATTGAGTCCAACCTAACACTGACACGTTCTTAACTAAACCATATCCCTCAGTACCACTCCATAGACTCTTAAATCCCTCCAGGGATGGTGACTCCACCACTGCCCTGGGCAGCCTGATAACACTTTAACTGAAGGAATTCTTCCTAACATCCAATCTAAACCTCCCCTGGCACAACTTGAGGGCCTTACTTGTAACTTCACTGAACAGCCCCATCCCTACCTCTTTACATCCTCCTCTCAGGTAGCTGTAAAGAGCAACAGGGTCTCCCCTCAGCCTCCTTTTCTCTAGTCTAAACAACCCCAGCTCCCTCAGCTGCTCTTCGTAAGACACATGCTCCAAATGCTTCACAATCACCAAAGTGAATACATATACTATTTATTGCAATTAATTCTGCTTTTCACACACAAATATAAATCTACCTCTGCCAACAAGCAGTTAGGAGAGAAAGAAAAAGGCAGCACCTCGCGTGCAGCCTGCAGAGGGCTGGGAGCAGCGGCAGAGCCTCACAAAAGCTGCCCCTTTTCCCTCCTACTGCCCACGGACACCCGGCAAGAAAACCCGCAGGGCTCCCCTCAGCCTCCCAAAGGCCTCCAGGAACCTGGAGCCTCTTGGGGTTCCTACCGAAGCGGGAAAGTTCCCAAGGTAACACTGGGCTGCTCAGCCACACACACACCACTTGGATCCGAACCGACCTTCTGAAGCCATTCACACGCCGCCTGCCGAATTTCCCAGGAATGTGACCCTTTTCATCCCAACCAAAGCCACACAACGAGAAACAACCACAACCAACGCGAAAATAAAAATAAAAAGGAGGGGGTGGGGGAAATGAGAAGTGGCCAGAAAGCCCAGAGCTCATGGATAAGCCCGAGGAGGGAGGCAGCAGCTCCTCAGGGCCCTTGTGGGGAGCGAGGACATTTTGCAGCCTGTGCCTCGACCCTGGGGACAGAAGGTGACAAGCCCGGGACGGGGGACAATCCCGGGATGGGGGACAAGCCCTGGGTGAGGGGCCCTGCATGGGGGACAGGCCCTGCATGGGGAGCAGGCCCTGCAATATGGGGGGACAGGCCCTGCAGGGGGGACAGG